ACTTTATTTTCTACAGTTTATATTTTGTCCTTCAAAGGAATTTGTTAATTCCTCCCAGCCTGACTCCGCCCAGCGACAGAAATATGCAATATTTGACCCGTGATGAAAGATACGTGTACAACCTGTAGTCTTTCATTATGGAAACTTTATTTTTTAACAAATGGGAGTTTTATATGATGTGATGTAGGCCAATGGCCTTAAACACTGAATGAACTCACTTACTTACATTCTTAGTGGTAATGATATATAAACAACAGAAACCACCAACCTACCCCTTGACCGAAGATTGAACCTCCCTATCTAATGATACACGAGCAAGGACCCCCTTGAGATAAAACTCTATGGCAGTCTTTCAGAGTTGAAGCGAGCTACACAGTTTGTGCGCGACATCGGACTGATTGTCTAGCTGCTGTCATCGAGAACGAGGAAGAAGAAGAAGACGAGCAAGGATAAAGTAAAGTACATGAAGTTTAATTTCCGGAAGCGAAAATACCGTACTGAAGATCTTTTTTCGCCTTGTCCATCATTGTCATGGAGCTCTGAAAACGTTTTCGAGGGTGTCAAATAAAACTTTTGCTTGCTCATGGTCTTGCACACCAGCATATTAGATATGTGGCAAATTTGAGAAACAATCTATCCAACAACATATTTTTTAGATCCACATTGTGTCTATATAATAAGCATGATAATTTTCTAGATCCCTTATTTAGCGCGACCTTGCTTTTTAGGTGGTGACATTTGTTCTATGGACCCCAAAGACCACGACAAACAGAATCATATCGTTTTGCAAATTATATACGCCATCTGTGACGTCAGCAAAAGCTTCCCTGGGGCTTATTTGCTCGCTCTCTCTCTCTCTCTCTCTCTCTCTCTCTCTCTCTCTCTCTCTCTCTCTCTCTCCTCTGTCTGTCTATCCCTGTCTGTCTGTCTCTCTATCTATCGCTCCTGTTGCTTTCGCTCGCTCTCTTTCTAGTCATCTCTCTCTCCCGTCGTTTTCGCTGTCTTTCCCTCCCCCCTCTCTCTCTGCCTGTCTGTTTGTCTCTCTCTCTCTCTCTTTCTCTCTCTCTCTCTCTCTCTCTCTCTCTCCCTCCCCCCCCCCTCTCTCTCTCTCTCTCTCTCTCTCTCTCTCCCTCAGACACATGGCGAGATGTGACCCTGATTATGTTGACCCGCAGTAAAAAACAACTGCCGTCCCTACCGCTTTGTTTCTGCCTTTTTGTTCGTCTGTTTGTCTGTCTACCTGTCTGTCTGTTTGCTTGCCTTATACACACAAATGATGCATGCGCACGTATTCACACATTTCCACTCACATACACAAACCCACACACACATATATATCCACACACACGCAAATACACACACTCTCACACACATAGCGCACGCGTGCCATATTGCTGGCAACAAGTTGTGCGAGTCAGTGACCCTTGACCTTGACCAGGGGCGAACTCTTTGACTCCTGCTCGTGAACCGTGTGGAGCTTATGCTTCTTCCGAACCCTTTGTTACCTACAGTCAGCCACACACGTCCTCTTGAGAGAGAGAGAGAGAGAGAGAGAGAGGGAGAGAGAGAGAGAGAGAGAGAGAGAGAGAGAGAGGGAGGGAGGGAGAGAGAGTGAGAGAGAGAGAGATGGAGATTACTTTAGTAGAAGTTTTACGGCGCTCGCAACTGCATAAGGTCATATGAGCGCCAGAAGATTAGAGGTGTTACAAGAGAGTAACAGACATAAAAAAGAAGTAGGAGGGATAAGGACGATAGATGTTTTAGAGGAAAGAAGAAGCAAACCACACCAAAGCCCCCGCCAACCACCTACAGAGAGAGGGAGAGAGGGATCAGAGAGAGAGAGAGAGAGAGAGAGAGAGAGAGAGAGAGAGAGAGAGAGAGAGAGAGAGAGAGAGAGAGAGAGAGAGAGAGAGAGTACCTGCGGTTGTGGTGAAGCTGGTAAACTGGTCATTGACTTATATTCAACATAATGGTTTTAAGAGTCATACTTTTCCAAAATAACGTCTTTCCCCGATAGGACCAAGTAAAGAGTGACCCCAAGAGGGCGGGGGAGAGAAAAAATAAAGTTCTCCACGGTATCATACCTTCCCTACTGTATAAAAGACGGGATATCAAAAGAAAGGTCTTTACACCCAACTGACATTTTCTTCAGTCCAGCTTTTACGTCACGATTTGTCTTCGGTCAAGCTTTTTGGTCTCACCAGGGCAGGTCTTGAAAAGGAAAAAGACCAAAGAAATCCCACGGTGAAAGGTCCACCTCCGAAATGAACTGCTTAAGTCGAGCGTGTCGGGAAACATTTACAAGCAAATAAGGAAGAAATGTGTAAGACAGCCATAGACATGCAGTTAAAGTATTATTTTGGCCAAACTACAGACTGCACCTATAATATAATTTCTCTCCAAAGGTAACGGCTCTGAAGCATGGCAAAATCTCTCTATCAGGAACGGATTTGGTTTTTTGCGTCTTTTTGTGCATTGTTCTGTGGTTGATGTAGTAACAGGAATTGTATTAAACAAATCTGACTTTTTAGAAGGGTTTGGGGGTAGAGTGGAGGATGGTAGGAAACGCTGAGTGGAAAAATAGGTATAGACTTAAATAACTCAAACATCATCTTTGGTAGAGCTGTCTGCTCGCTACCATAGACATACAAAATTCTAGCTTCTCAGTGTCTAGTTTTGAGAAATCTGACGTCAAAATTGTTGAGTATAACAACTTGGTTGACCTTTTTAAATGCAATTCTTTGAATATCTTAATAATAACTTCGAATAATATTACAATTTCCACAGAACAGACAGTACATGATTTGGCGTCTGATCTCATATAGTCTTAGTAACTAAAAACGACCAAAACTACCAGATAAAACTTTGTAATTTAAAGGTAGTGGTGCTTTCTACTGAAAATCTTTTTATTTCTTTGGGAGTTCCCCAGCCCCACTTTTTTTCCACCAATCAAATTAAGAAAGTGATATCACCCCCCCCCCTTTCCCTGAAACCACTTTTTTTGTTAAGTTTTTTTCTTATTACGGCAAAGCAGTACTTTGTGTGTCAAGAGGCACGTTCATCACGTGATGATTACGTCATGGGAAAGGGCGAGTCAAACTGGGCGTAAGTTCCAGGACAGAGTGAGGAAACGTCACGAAAGAAACGTTAGTGGGTGGGGCAAGGGCGTGGGCGAGGACAAGAAGGCGGGGAAAGCAAAAATACTTTTGGAGAGAGAGAGACAGAGAGAGACAGAGAGTGTGTGAGCGTTAGAGAGAGCCAGAGAGGTAGAGAGAGAGGGAGAGAGAGAGAGAGACAGAGAGAGACAGAGAGAGAGAGAAGGAAACAGAGAACGAGCTAAAGAGAGTGAAAAGAATAGAGAGAAAGAAAGAAAGAAAGAAAGAAAGAGAGAAAGAGATGGAGGGGGGGTAACTAGATGCATATTTATTGTGGAGAGAGAGAGAGAGAGAGAGAGAGAGAGAGAGAGAGAGGGAGAGAGAGAGAGGGAGAGAGAGAGAGAGAGAGAGAAAGAAAGAGAGAGAGAGAGAGAGAGAGAGGGAGAGAGGGAGAGAGAGAGAGAGAGAGAGAGAGAGAGAGAGAGAGAGAGAGAGAGAGAGAGAGAGAGCGCCTTTCTGAAGCTGTGTACGCTACTGTACTCCGCTGAAGTTCTTTATGTCTACTCTAGACTGAGATGTTTGAAGCTCTTTTTGTTTAACGCCTCAACAAACACTTGCAGTTCAAATACTCTCTTAGGAGTTCCAACTATAGTGTTGCCTTTCAGCATGATATCATTGTCAGGTATCCGAGTCGCCTGTTCAATCGCTTCTCAAAATGTGCGAGCAACATGTCTGGATATCGCTACCACGGAATTTCAAAATTCTATCTGACATCTTTGGCCCTCTTGAGTTACTATAAGATCATGGGGTCAGAAACCACATTATGTTCAATTTGCTTTATTAAAAACTGTAATGTTTTTAGTTTTGTTTTAGTAGAGGTTTTACGGCACTCGCAACTGCATAAGGTCATATGAGCGCCAGAAGAATAGAGGTATTACAAGAGAGTAACAAACATAAAAAAGAAAAAGGGGAGATACGGACGATAGATGTTTGATAGGAAAGAAGGAGCAAACCACACCAGAGCACCTGCCAACCACCCACTAATATTTTTGGAAATCATTATCAAGATAATATTCAAAGAATTGCATTTAAAAGACCTTGACATGTCATATATTATTGTGAAACTTAAAATATTTGACGTCAAATTTCTCGAAACTAGGTAGAATCTACTGAATAGATAGAACTATGTAATTCTGAGGTAGCAAGATGACATCAGATGTCGAACATTTTCTACCATGTTTTTGTTCTAACCAACCCTCTAAAAAACCAACAGCAACAAGAAAGTAATAAAACTAAAACTCTTGCCGGCACAGTCTTATAATTATTATATGCTACACATTTAGTGTCAAGTAGGATTTGCAACCACGACACATATTGGGCAGATCGCAATAAGGTCGCTTTACCAATGACGCTGATCCATTTATCAAAGCGTTCAGTATCTCAAAAAAAAACATTTAGCGTTGCGCAGTCACTGCCATCACAGAACTCATTGTCAGAGTGCAATCTCAAAACGAAGCGTTATTTATGAGGAGCGAAAGGTTCTTAAATAAAAAAAGGAAATCTAAATCTTAAAAAAACCATGCAGAAACAATATCAGAGGAGTTTTGCAACTAGAAATAACACTTCCATTATCACAAAAAATAGTTTTCGTTTGTTATCAATTCAATGTATGTTATGGATGTTATCAAAATTTAAAATCCCAGTCTCTAAATACAAAGATTGTATGTAGCACGGATACATAAATTAACCTATAATGGCATAGCAGTACAGACTCCCATCACTATAACCAAAATGACCTCAGCGGTGTGCCTTTAATGCGGGTGCCAGGGCAGCCAGCGGAAGAGCGGGTGTCAGTACTTTTTTCTTCCTCTCTCTCCCGCTTTGCCGAAATCTCACCTCGCTCCCCCTCACTTTCCTTGTTTCCCCCCATCACTAACACCACTCTCTGTTCCACCGCTTCCGTGTTGTTGTCTCTGGCTACCTGTTGTGGGTGGAGGTACCGCCTGGAAGCGCGCTCTGTCCAGGTCGATTATCACTGTTAATTCCAGAAAGGTAAGTGCTTGTATACACAGAATGTGCAGTGCTTTTGAATACGTCATTATGTGAGGGTAAAGTCATTACTTGTTATTTATTGGTAGTAATTATTTAGCTTTTTTGGTTTTTGTTTATATCAATATGTCACACTTGTCTGCGTAGTTGATTGGTACCACACACACACACACACACACACACACACACACACACACACACACACACACACACACACACACACACATGTACATATTGAACATATGTATAATATATTTTCCTTATATACACATTTGAGTTGAACTTTCCTTGTCATCTGCTATACATTCTCTTGATATCTTGGTGACACCTTTCTGCGTCCTACTCACTTAATTACATCTCCAAGATTGGAAGGAAAAAAGACAAGATGCGGTTGCAGAAAATGCATTTTTAGAGATATTTGACCGCCCAACTGAGAAAACATTTAAATTAAGTAAGTTTCAAGCAAGTAAGAAGATGGAGATGTTTAGGGCATGTTTTAAGAATGCCGTAGACAAGATTGTCCAATCAGACATGGTAAAATTGGAGACCAACTGGAAAAAGAAAAAGAGGTTGACAAACTGGAAGTTGACAGAGGCACTATCAGAGAAGAGGCAATCATCGCCCAGGGCCTACATTTGCCAAGACTGGATAAGGTGACCAAACGTGGCTTCCACTGCTCTACACCTTATTAATAATAATAATAATAATAATATGAGTTTGGCGGGTGTAGAGAGAGTAAGCAAATAAGTAAATGAAAGGATTGTCAGCTCTTGTTTCGTTATTCAATACCACCTTTTCCGTCCCATTATTCGGTGTAACCACACTCTGTCTTTATTTAAGATCTTAGTTCAAGATCTTACGTGGCGGCACATTTTTTAATGATTCTATGTCAC